GATCAAGAACGATTTTGTTTGCTCGCCTTGCTGGGGGGGGCATTTAGACAATGTCTGAGTTTGTGGTACAGATCTGCATATGTTGACCTCGGACGACAAAAATAGTGGTACATTCCAGGTTTCGAAATTCCTTACATGTGATCCACCGGTGGCAGAACAGACTGCCAATAAGCGGAATCCATAATGTTGCTCCTTATTGAGCAAGCATGGTGCCAATGCCAAAACAGAGGGAATAAAAGTCCAGCTAGACTTGCCAAACATGAAAGTAAACCTTGTTTGGGGGGAAAACAGTCATTCGTACTGGTGGACAGTGTAACACAGGATGAATGGCGCTGACAAACGAAGACAACGGTGCGTACCTCATGCAGTTCGGTCACGAGTTTGAGGAAATTCTCATCACTACGGCTGACTCCATCTAGTTGCGTATTCAGACGACTGCGTGCTTCCTCCAATCGGAACACTTCCATTTGGTTTTCTCTCCGAGCCATTTGGGATTGGATAAATCGTTTTTCTGCCTTGCAAAACGGAAAGCAAAAAAAGGAACAGTTTTCAACGGGTTCGAGAGTTTAGTTCACACATTTTACAGAGTAGAAAGTGGTACCGGATTATGAGCTGATCCATTTTATGAAAGGCCATCTTTACGATTGATCAATTCCACAGTCTGTGAGGCCTACTTGACTGAACTACGGGCAACTTGAAGGACAGTGCCATTACATTCCATGTGAATGCATATTATTTTAAAAACAATGTGACCGCTGAGAGTTTAGAGAACGCTTGACTCGAACGGCTACTCCAGCGTCGCAGTGTCAGACGCCAGCCACCTTCGAGTACTCAACTACATTTTCCATTCTTGTTTTCCACACAAAGCTGGTATCTGTGCCTTCATACACCAATCAGTAGCCGCCTCCAGGATCCCAATCCTGAATCTCAGCTGATGTGACTGAACCTCCGACTTCCTTCCTTTAATCATTACTTGTGTGTTCAAATGGCTCCTCAATAGTAACGACTTTGTCTTTCAGTTTTCATCTTCAAACATCAAGTAATTGCGTGTAAGCGACCCACCTATCATGTCACCATCTTGGGAGGATTTTAAGGTCCATAATCAGGAATGGTTGATACATTCACCTGCTACTGCTTCTTTGGGGCGCGGAGCTGAATATTCCGCTTTCGTCAACAACCAGAGCCAACTAGTTGACTTCTTCACACGTATCCCTGATGGAACTGGCGATCGTACCCACACGGTCAACCTAATTCTCACTTGGACCCCTTCTTTCTTTTCAGATATTTGTACTCTCTCTCTCCACTCGGCACATTAGATCGCTGTATTTTTTCTTCCTCTAATAAGTTTATCAGCTCGATCTGCCCTCTACCTCTACCGCGACAAATCAGCCAAATTGGACGGTTTCCGTGATTTCCTAGCTTCGTATCCCTGGAACGATAGTTTCTCATCCGACGTTTCCAAACTCAGCGACGATGTTCTTCACGGTATGCATCTTTTTATTCCACATTTTTCCAAACCCGGAAAACCCGAATCCCATCATCGCTTTGTACAAGCTAGGAACAGATGCTCGACAACCATTCAGTAAGCCAAAGAACGCTTCGGTAGCAGTAAAGCCCGAAACTTGGTCTCGTCCGCTACTGGTAGCCGAATATTTTGATCACTTACCAAAGCGATTTCCCTTAATTTCTCTGGTGACCTTGTATATCAACCACACAAGAAATGAGGCTGTTGCTTCCCAGTTTACCGCAACCCTTTTTCCACCTCAAATGAGCACTAGGAGAAACCCGTCAAACATGGAGCGCTCTCTAAACACAAACAAACCACTCGGTCCGGACGGTATTCCAATCATCGTCCTCAAAATGTGTGTGCTCCCGATCCGGCTCCTATAGTTTACGTCATCTTTTCAGTCTTTCACC